GCGGTGTGTCCACTCACAGGATGAGTGGCGCTGCCCAATATTGTCACTATGGCGGTGTGTCCACTCCCAGGATGAGTGGCGCTGCCCAATATTGTCACTATGGCGGTGTGTCCACTCCCAGGATGAGTGGCGTTGCCCAATACTGTCACTATGGCGGTGTGTCCACTCACAGGATGAGTGGCGCTGCCCAATACTGTCACTATGGCGGTGTGTCCACTCCCAGGATGAGTGGCGCTGCCCAATACTGTCACTATGGCGGTGTGTCCACTCTCAGGATGAGTGGCGCTGCCCAATACTGTCACTATGGCGGTGTGTCCACTCCCAGGATGAGTGGCGTTGCCCAATACTGTCACTATGGCGGTGTGTCCACTCACAGGATGAGTGGCGCTGCCCAATACTGTCACTATGGCGGTGTGTCCACTCCCAGGATGAGTGGCGCTGCCCAATACTGTCACTATGGCGGTGTGTCCACTCTCAGGATGAGTGGCGCTGCCCAATACTGTCACTATGGCGGTGTGTCCACTCCCAGGATGAGTGGCGTTGCCCAATACTGTCACTATGGCGGTGTGTCCACTCACAGGATGAGTGGCGCTGCCCAATACTGTCACTATGGCGGTGTGTCCACTCCCAGGATGAGTGGCGCTGCCCAATACTGTCACTATGGCGGTGTGTCCACTCACAGGATGAGTGGCGCTGCCCAATACTGTCAGTATGGCGTTGTGTCCACTCACAGGATGTGTGACGCTGCCCAATACTGTCACTATGGTGGTGTGTCCACTCACAGGATGAGTGACGCTGCCCAATACTGTCACTATGGCGGTGTGTCCACTCACAGGATGAGTGACGCTGCCCAATACTGTCACTATGGCGGTGTGTCCACTCCCAGGATGTACTTGGGTGATATATGGTACTGGGAGATGTATGGTACTGGGAGATGTATGGTACTGGGAGATGTATGGTACTGGGAGATGTATGGTACTGGGAGATGTATGGTACTGGGAGATGTATGGTTCTGGGAGTTGTATGGTACTAGGAGTTGTATGGTACTGGGAGATGTATGGTACTGGGAGATGTATGGTACTGGGAGATGTATGGTTCTGGGAGATGTATGGTACTGGGAGATGTATGGTACTGGGGGAGATGTATGGTACTAGGAGATGTATGGTACTGGGAGATGTATGGTACTGGGGGAGATGTATGGTACTAGGAGATGTATGGCACTGGGAGATGTATGGTACTGGGGAGATGTATGGTACTAGGAGATGTATGGTACTGGGAGATGTATGGTACTGGGAGATGTATGGTACTGGGAGATGTATGGTTCTGGGAGATGTATGGTACTGGGAGATGTATGGTACTGGGGGAGATGTATGGTACTAGGAGATGTATGGTACTGGGAGATGTATGGTACTGGGAGATGTATGGTACTGGGAGATGTATGGTACTGGGAGATGTATGGTACTGGGGGAGATGTATGGTACTGGGAGATGTATGGTACTGGGAGAGGTATGGTACTGGGAGATGTATGGTACTGGGAGATGTATGGTACTGGGAGATGTATGGTACTGGGGAGATGTATGGTTCTGGGAGATGTATGGTACTGGGAGATGTATGGTACTGAGGAGATGTATGGTACTGGGGAGATATATGGTACTGGGAGATGTATGGTACTGGGAGATGTATGGTACTGGGAGATGTATGGTACTGGGGAGATGTATGGTACTGGGAGATGTATGGTACTGGGAGATGTATGGTACTGGGAGATGTATGGTACTGGGGAGGTGTATGGTACTGGGAGATGTATGGTACTGGGAGATGTATGGTACTAGGAGATGTATGGTACTGGGAGATGTATGGTACTAGGAGATGTATGGTACTGGGAAGATGTATGGTACTGGGAAGATGTATGGTACTGGGAGATGTATGGTACTGGGGAGATATATGGTACTGGGAGATGTATGGTACTGGGGGAGATGTATGGTACTGGGAGATGTATGGTACTGGAGAGGTGTATGGTACTGGGAGATATGGTACTGGGGGAGATGTATGGTACTGGGGAGACGTATGGTACTGGGAGATGTATGGTACTGGGAGATGTATGGTACTGGGGAGATGTATGGTACTGGGAGATGTATGGTACTGAGGAGATGTATGGTACTGGGGAGATATTTGGTACTGGGAGATGTATGGTACTGGGAGATGTATGGTACTGGGAGATGTATGGTACTGGGGAGATGTATGGTACTGGGAGATGTATGGTACTGGGGAGGTGTATGGTACTGGGAGATGTATGGTACTGGGAGGTGTATGGTACTGGGAGATGTATGGTACTGGGGGAGATGTATGGTACTGGGAGATGTATGGTACTGGGGAGGTGTATGGTACTGGGAGATGTATGGTACTGGGGGAGATGTATGGTACTGGGGAGATGTATGGTACTGGGAGATGTATGGTACTGGGAGATGTATGGTACTGGGGGAGATGTATGGTACTGGGGATGTGTATGGTACTGGGAGGTGTATGGTACTGGGGAGGTGTATGGTACTGGGGAGATGTATGGTACTGGGGGAGATGTATGGTACTGGGAGATGTATGGTACTGGGAGATGTATGGTACTGGGAGATGTATGGTACTGGGGGAGATGTATGGTACTGGGAGATGTATGGTACTGGGAGATGTATGGTACTGGGAGAGATGTTTGGTACTGGGGGATGTATGGTACTGGGAGAGATGTATGGTACTGGGGGATGTATGGTACTGGGGGAGATGTATGGTACTGGGGGATGTATGGTACTGGGAGAGATGTATGGTACTGGGAGATGTATGGTACTGGGAGAGATGTATGGTACTGGGGGATGTATGGTACTGGGAGAGATGTATGGTACTGGGGAGATGTATGGTACTGGGAGATGTATGGTACTGGGGGATGTATGGTACTGGGGGAGATGTATGGTACTGGGGGATGTATGGTACTGGGGGATGTATGGTACTGGGGAGATGTATGGTATTGGGGGAGATGTATGGTACTGGGAGATGTATGGTACTGGGAGAGATGTATGGTACTGGGGAGATGTATGGCACTGGGGGATGTATGGTACTGGGGGATGTATGGTACTGGGGAGATGTATGGTATTGGGGGAGATGTATGGTACTGGGAGATGTATGGTACTGGGAGAGATGTATGGTACTGGGGAGATGTATGGTACTGGGGGATGTATGGTACTGGGGGATGTATGGTACTGGGAGAGATGTATGGTACTGGGGAGATGTATGGTACTGGGGGATGTATGGTACTGGGGGATGTATGGTACTGGGGAGATGTATGGTATTGGGGGAGATGTATGGTACTGGGAGATGTATGGTACTGGGGGATGTATGGTACTGGGAGAGATGTATGGTACTGGGAGATGTATGGTACTGGGGGATGTATGGTACTGGGAGAGATGTATGGTACTGGGAGATGTATGGTACTGGGGGAGATGTATGGTACTGGGGGAGATGTATGGTACTGGGAGATGTATGGTACTGGGGGAGATGTATGGTACTGGGAGAGATGTATGGTACTGGGGGAGATGTATGGTACTGGGAGATGTATGGTACTGGGGGAGATGTATGGTACTGGGAGAGATGTATGGTACTGGGAGAGATGTATGGTACTGGGGGAGATGTATGGTACTGGGGGAGATGTATGTGGAGGCAAACTCAACACTCATTTTCATTCAGAAACCTCAACACCAGTTGACTGATAGTTGAGAGGCGGGGACCAAAGAGCCGAAGCTCAACCCCCGCAAGCTCAAATAAACTAGAGAGTTGCCTACATCAAAGAAAGGGGAGCGTCGTCCCCCTTACATGGTGTTTAAAAGGGGGGTTGATTCCCTCTTTTTTAACACCACGGGTGATATTGTAATCTTTTTTGCACCACTGTAAACAATGGGTCAAAACAGACCTGTTTAATTCTTATTGTCTGTTGCTGTTTAATGGATTTTGTTCCAATAAACTGTAGTTGTTTGTCCCGTTCCCGCGAGAACGTAGAAGTCATCGTAGATTCCCGTAGATGATCTCGTAGATCATCTTTACCTCTATAGCTGTCTATTCTCCACAGGGTTATCTTGAGGTTATCTTGAGATGGTTTCGTTTTTTTTTAGTGTCCCCGCGGCCCGGTCCTCGACCAGGCCTCCACCCTCAGGAAGCAGCCCGTGACAGCTAACTAACATTCAGGTACCTATTTTACTGCTAGGTAACAGGGGCATAGGGTGAAAGAAACTGTGCTCATTGTTTCTCGCCGGCGCCTGGGATCGAACCCAGGACCACAGGATTACAAGTCCCGCGTGCTGTCCGCTCGGCCGACCGGCTCCCTGGTTGGTTGGCTCCCTAGGGTTGCCAGAGTCGGAGGACAGGAAGTTTGTGAGGCTTAGCGAGCTCTCTTCTGGTCAAGAGCTGACGGTCTCCACACACACCACAAGAGGTCCTCTAGCGCCAAACGTCCACGTTCTGGTGTCTTAGAAAAATATAAAAACCGCTGTTATATGTATATTTCGTCGGCCACAGGATAGGTTAGGTGGGTTGTATAGGTTGGATAGGTAGAGTCAACTCACTATGATGCTTGACACGTCGCATGATGGACAGTTGAGGGCAGACTTAGACAAGGCGAGGAAATAAGATCTAAGTGCGGTGAAGTCAAGAGTCTCAAGGACTAATGCTAAGAGTTTAGCAAGAGTTAAGAGGCGTGAGGTAAGGCCACAATAACGAGGCGGAAGCCGGTCCAGTCCGTCATCTTAAGGAGCCCCAACGTCAAGAAAATGGTCAATTAAACCCTTATCCTAACCTACCAGAGGACCCAAAACACAATACGGACCAGTAGTTAACTCTCCCCAGCCGCTTCCATTTTCTAGTACGACCATTGCTGGCCTTAGGTAACGCCTCCGAGCGAAAAGTGACGTTCGTAGTAGGCGGAGAAGTTGAACTGTGGTGAAGACACCAACCTGTTCTCCGTGTTACAGGATGAGCGCTCCCGCCGGGATGGAAGTTGGCGCCCAGAAGGTAAGGCGGCGAAACCCAAAGAAAACTAAGGTAAGAATATTGTGATAATTGTGGGGTCTGAGGTACACTGTAAGACACGCCTCCTCTCCCTGCCTCCGCCTCCGGGAGGAGCAGGAGGACACCCCGGGCGTCTGTATACTCATAACTCTCACTAATGTGGTAGATAGCTGAGAGGAAATACACCGGGACTGTGATGGTGGTGATGGTGATGATGGTGGTGGTGATGGTGGTGGTGGTGGTGGTGATGATGGTGGTGGTGATGGTGATGGTGGTGGTGATGGTGGTGGTGGTGGTGATGGTGATGATGGTGGTGGTGTAATATCTCGGCCGCGCAACCCGCTACTACCACTGAAATAACCGTATAATCTCCGCTCCTTCTATGGTAATAACGGATGCTCTACCGATCATGTAAGATGTTAACACTCGGGCCGTCATACGAAGATGTAAACCAGTAAACAAAGGAGAGAGAGAGAGAGAGATAGTGAGGAAGAGTGAGGCAGTGCGAGAACGAGAGCAAGGGAGAGTGAGAACCTAGTGAGGGCGAGTGAGAAACTAGTGAGGGCGAGTGAGATACAAAGATAGAAATATTCGTAGTCACAGCATTCGTATGAGTTACCGAGTAACGCTGCCACCACCCTGAGTTACCGGACAGGGGACCAGAATGAGAGTCGTAGGCCTTGCGGATGGTATAAACCTACCAGGACAGGTGTAGGGGACAATTGACTGGTACAAGGATCCTGGCCTGACACTCGAATAATCCTGACCACTTGGGAACTATAGTGTACACAAGAATATGGCGGGACACACCTAATACTAACACCTCAACACGGGACGGACGGGGGGAGGAGTACTGGATAAGTAAGGACACTAGGTCACTAGGGCAAAGGGGACGGTAGGCCCAATATCACTAAGACAAGGAACCATTAATACACATTTACTGACACTTGACAATCTATGACTTTATATGAAATAGTTGAATAAGACACTCCCTAACTATATTCCCTACTAGAGGCGATGAGTACTGAATGAGGTGCTTTAGTACAAGAGAGCCGTACTTACTCGTATAATGTTCCACAGTTCTGGAGATAATGTTCCCTCCTGGAGTGCACACACACCGTCCTACTGGACTGCACCCACTCTACTGTTCTCTTCCATGATCTCCTGCTCCCCAGCTGAACATGAGGGTTTGCATTTGACGTTTAGGGGTTAATCCCTGAAGATTATCATGACGGCATCAACTCTGATCTCCTCGTGACCCGATGGCCGTTGACCTGTCCTCCTGGTTAACTGGTACAGAGGTGTAACTTTTTCCATTGTCTGCCGCCGCCTGCCTGCCGCCGCGCCTGTGGCTTGTTCTTGCTCCACGTGGCTTGTTCATGCTGTTATAATGTTCATGTTGTTCTACTATGTACTGCTCTCTTGTTACAGTGGTGGTGGTGGGAAACTGTGGGATAAGTGTGGTAGCAGCTCACCAAAATTAATATAAATATAAACAATTATATAAAACCTGTGTGTACGTGTGTGCCTTGGTGATATCAGAGGCACGGGTGATAAGTCCGTGGAACCGCCTACCCGCCGAAGCTGTAAACGCCAAGACCAGTTTAAAAATTTTCCTGTCCTGCTCGTAGTCACTAAAGATGGTGGCCCTCAGGTAGATTTAGGGAAACAAAGTTGTCTCCGAGGAACTCAAGGCTGAATTTTCCATCAGAGAGCACAAATGGTTCATGTTTGTATGTATATAAATGTTTAGTCAGGGAGAAAAGGTTGCTGTCAACATCAGTGACAATGTAAACAGTATTGTTAAAGTGTAACGACCGCTTCCCTCTGTAATAACCGCGGCCTCTATTGTAATAACCCAATAACCCAATATTAATCCTGTTATCTTGTGATCTCTCATAATCGTAATATACGCTCTCTGTTGTAATTCTCCGTCTCTCTTCACTCAATACCCCAGCTTAACGCTGTTACAGTCCAGCATGACCCCTCACTGGACTGCCACGTATATAAGAGGAATATTAAATGAGGAAGATACACCAAGGACAAGGGTTATTCGCTTATTACTAATTATAAAATAAAAACCATTAAAGCACTGCCACCACCTTCCTGACCAACCATACCTGAATGTGTCTATCACCGATCCCCCAGGAAGGCAAGGAATCAGCAACCATGGGACTCCGGGTAATATGAATTTCAGTAATAAATTTTGGAAAATTAGTTTGTGTAATTTACGTTACTAATTTAAATCCAAGGGCAACTTTAGTATCTATTAATAGTAGGAGAACCTGGGGCTTCCAATACAACACCTAAAAATGACAAAGTAGCAAAATATATCAAAGGGGAGTTAAGTGAATACCACTGGACAAGCTATACAATTTATTTTATGAAACATGTAAATTAAGACAATTTGAACACATAACCTATTCTATTTCCCTAGAGGCACAATGGATATTTACCGAGGACACAAAACTCAAGTGCACTATACCTTAAATACCCGCACTACGGCCACGATGTTGATGGCTGCCCTCAGCCCCGAGGATACGGGCTTGCGGCCCTGTTCCTAATACACTCCCAAGACACACTGATGAAATTTAGTTTTTCCAACTTATTGCTGGGAAGGATTACTCCTCCCACCATCTAATACAGCCCCAGGGCTCCACCCATTATTTTGGCCCTGGCCAACCATTTAACACGTAGGCCTGAGGTCTGGCTCTCTAGGGCCAATAAGGACTTGGCCCTTATCTCAGGCCAATCACCTTCACTGATCTGTCGTGGAAAGCTACATGAATTTCTGAAGATTGAGTCAGCTCTCCCCAGCTAGAGAAGGGGGACAAGGCGCGTCTATGGAGCCCAGACACCTGCGAGCAATGTTTACAAAACTGATAATTTATGTTCAAGCCCGTCTCCTCTAAGATAGGAGTAGGGACATTTGACTCTGCCTGGTATGGGGAAGGCCGCTGCCGAGAGGGACAGAGAGGGATGAGAGGGGGTGGAGAGGGAAATATCTGAGTGGGGAAGTTGAGTGGGAGAAGCCAAGGTATCCACGACCACCCTACCCTCAGGTCAACCTCTTGACCCTGACAAATGGGCGACAGGGGGGGGGGGAAGAGGAGGAGACGAATGACGGCCAAGGGGAGGGGAGAAGGAAGGAGGGGAGAGGGAGAAGGAAAGGAGGGGAGAAGGGGAGGGAAAAGAGGGGAGAAGGGAGAACCAATGATCTGAGCCCCAGGCTCAGATCATTGGTTCTCCCTTCTCCCCTCTTTTCCCTCCCCTTCTCCCCTCCTTTCCTTCTCCCTCTCCCCTCCTTCCTTCTCCCCTTCCCTTGGCCGTCATTCGTCTCCTCCTCTTCCCCCCCCCCTGTCGCCCATTTGTCAGGGTCAAGAGGTTGACCTGAGGGTAGGGTGGTCGTGGATACCTTGGCTTCTCCCACTCAACTTCCCCACTCAGATATTTCCCTCTCCACCCCCTCTCATCCCTCTCTGTCCCTCTCAGCAGCGGCCTTCCCCATACCAGGCAGAGTCAAATGTCCCTACTCCTATCTTAGAGGAGACAGGCTTGAACATAAATTATCAGTTTTGTAAACATTGCTCGCAGGTGCCTGGGCTCCATAGACGCGCCTTGTCCCCCTTCTCTAGCTGGGGAGAGCTGACTCAATCTTCAGAAATTCATGTAGCTTTCCACGACAGATCAGTGAAGGTGATTGGCCTGAGATAAGGGCCAAGTCCTTATTGGCCCTAGAGAGCCAGACCTCAGGCCTACGTGTTAAATGGTTGGCCAGGGCCAAAATAATGGGTGGAGCCCTGGGGCTGTATTAGATGGTGGGAGGAGTAATCCTTCCCAGCAATAAGTTGGAAAAACTAAATTTCATCAGTGTGTCTTGGGAGTGTATTAGGAACAGGGCCGCAAGCCCGTATCCTCGGGGCTGAGGGCAGCCATCAACATCGTGGCCGTAGTGCGGGTATTTAAGGTATAGTAGCACTTGAGTTTTGTGTCCTCGGTAAATATCCATTGTGCCTCTAGGGAAATAGAATAGGTGATGTGTTCAAATTGTCTTAATTTACATGTTTCATAAAATAAATTGTATAGCTTGTCCAGTGGTATTCACTTAACTCCCCTTTGATATATTTTGCTACTTTGTCATTTTTAGGTGTTGTATTGGAAGCCCCAAGTTCTCCTACTATTAATAGATACTAAAGTTACCCTTGGATTTAAATTAGTAACGTAAATTACACAAACTAATTTTCCAAAATTTATTACTGAAATTCATATTACCCGGAGTCCCATGGTTACTGATTCCTTGCCTTCCTGGGGGATCGGTGATAGACACATTCAGGTATGGTTGGTCAGGAAGGTGGTGGCAGTGCTTTAATGGTTTTTATTTTATAATTAGTAATAAGCGAATAACCCTTGTCCTTGGTGTATCTTCCTCATTTAATATTCCTCTTACATACGTGGCAGTCCAGTGAGGGGTCATGCTGGACTGTAACAGTGTTAAGCTGGGGTATTGAGTGAAGAGAGACAGAGAATTACAACAGAGAGCGTATATTACGATTATGAGAGATAACAAGATAACAGGATTAATACTGGGGGACATTGGGTTATTACAATAGAGGCCGCGGTTATTACGACAGGGTAAGCGGTCGTTACAATGGTGGCAGCGGTGGGATGAGAGGGGGTGGAGAGGGAAATATCTGAGTGGGGAAGTTGAGTGGGAGAAGCCAAGGTATCCACGACCACCCTACCCTCAGGTCAACCTCTTGACCCTGACAAATGGGCGACAGGGGGGGGGGGAAGAGGAGGAGACGAATGACGGCCAAGGGAAGGGGAGACGGAAGGAGGGGAGAGGGAGAAGGAAAGGAGGGGAGAAGGGGAGGGAAAAGAGGGGAGAAGGGAGAACCAATGATCTGAGCCCCAGATCATTACAAAAGAAGAACTTATGTCAGTAACACTTAGTGAAACAATTTGGACAGAACAAACATAAGATAATGAAAGCAAAATAATTGGGGTAATATTTGATGTCACCTTCCTTGGGG